GGACTTATTTTTTCACTGAAATAAATGTTTTTGTAATTACACAGAAAGTAAAGTACCGAAAAAAGGTACCGTTAGTTACCGGTATCGATACCGGTACCGTACCGGTTAAAATGTGAACGGTACCCAACCCTAGTAACTATTAGTGATCCCGACTGTAACGTCACAGTCGGTGTTATGTTCTGATTCGCCTATTTGTCAGTGGTCTTTTGAATGCACAAGATTTACATAAGAAGGAGGAAACAATGGTGTTTGAGGCTCACGGTATGTCATTTCCATGTACAGAACTGTTATTATTCAACTATGCCAAGGTAAATACAGTTTTCCATTCTATGGCACCTTTAAAAAAAAAAACTGAATTGTTTTTCAGTCTGAAATAATGTAAGACCTTTATTTCATCCACTGGTGGCATACTGGTGTTATACTGGCAGTATTGTAAATGTTAGGCTATAATATTATTGGTTTATATTATTTTTCCCTGCTCATGAAGTTTGGGTTATGTAAGCAGAAAACAAAAAGGTAGAAGACAGTATTACATTTTGCTTATTTTTAAGAATAACATGCATGATGAATCAGTCAAAGTATGGACAGGAACATTTATTATGAAAGTACAAGAGTCAGTTTAAAGTATTGTTATAAATACAGTACAGTTAAATGTGCATGTGTGTGTCATTGCTCTGTAAGGCCCTCAGATGCTTCAGAAATCTCCTGTCTCTTTATATGTAGTGTCTGAAAGGATAGAGAGTTTTCACAGAGACGTTCTCCTGAACAATGTCGCTCTGTTCCAATGGCAGAATTATTCTGTTTTTGTGTGTCGTGCAGTGTGATGCCTTTCTTTGCAGTAGATTTGCTTCATAGGTTCACCACAGGACAGTTCTGCCCCTCTGGAGTTCCCATGAACCCCACCCAGCTCAAGTGTATGTCTCCATTACTAATTTTCTCTTAACGTCTTTCACTTCACATCCCCGTGCAGAATGCTTTCCACTGGGAAGCAAAAATGATGGATTTATTTGGCAACTCAGCAAATCCAAACTTGGCGAAGTGGAAAAGCTCTTTGCAGCTAAATTCTCCTGTCACACATACTCAGAGGAACTGGGAGACAAGAATTCCCACTCTGGTTCACTCGTATGTTCAGAGTGTTTCTGGAATATTTACTTTTGGTCTTAGTGTGTCCAAAAAAAAATTTTTTAAATACCACTAAATATTTTTTTAGTCCAAAATACACTGCCATTCAAAGTTTGGAGTCCATAAGATTTTTATATTTTTTAAAGAAGTTTTACTAAGGCTGCATTTAATCAAAAACACAGTAAAAACAGTAATACTATGAAATATTATTACAATTTAAAAATAACTTTTCAATTTTAAAATGTAATTTATTCCTGTGATGGCAAAGCTGAATTTTCAGCATCATTACTCCAGTCTTCAGTGTGACGTGATCCTTCAGAAATCATAAGATGCGGATTTGGTGCTCAAGAAAAATTTCTTCTTATCATCAATCTTGAAAACAGTCATGATTCTTAATATTTTTGTTTTAAGTTTAAAAGAGCAACATTTATTTTGTAACGTTATAAATGTCTTTACTGTCACTTTAGACCAATGTAATGCATCCTTGCTGAATATCAGTATTAATTTCTTTAAAAATGTATGTATGTATTACTGATCCCAAACTTTTGAACGGTAGTGTATGTCATAATATAGAAGATTGCCAAATGCCATGCCATATTGATTTAGAGTGACAGGACAAATTTAAGGTTTCAGTGCTTCTTCTGCAGCCGTAGACCAAAGACACAGACACTAGGGCTGGGTAAAAAAATATCGATATCCCAATTTTAATCGATTCTCATTTTTACGAAGCGATATCGATTCTTAAATCCCAAGAATTGATTAGTCTAGCCTGTTTTCAGTTAATGGACGAACATTGAAGCGGAAGGACACCTCCCATCCAATATGGTGTCCAATATATACCAAGGGTTCACACAAAACAAGGGGAGTCCGCTTTTAGCTATTATGCCGCCCGCAGTTGGAACCAGCTTCCAGAAGAGATCAGATGTGCTAAAACATTAGTCACATTTAAATGCAGACTCAAAACTCATCTGTGTAGCTGTGCGTTTATTGAATGAGCATTGTGCGATGTCCGAACTGATTGCACTATATTTTATGTATAATCTTTTTCTATTCTTAACTGTTTTAAATTCATTTTAAACCTTTTAAATACATTTTTAAATCATTTTCATAGTTTTTAAATTCCTTGTATTATTTTCTTTTCTTTTATGTAAAGCACTTTGAATTACCATTGTGTATGAAATGTGCTGTATAAATAAACTTGCCTTGCCTTGCCTTGCCTAACAGACACACACACACACATAGAAAGCTTGACTGGACACTAGCGACACAGCCAGTGACCCCGGTCATATTCTCTCTCTATTACTGCCGACCCTTCACTGATTCCCAGACAGCTGCCTGCCCACACACACTCATTATCCCCTTCCAAACACACCAGATGCATCACATTCCTCTGCAGAGATGCAGGAAGCTTCCATGATACTACATAGTTTCAGTGTGAGAAAACACACATTCATAGCCTCGACTAATTTCTACCACAGGTAAACAAATACTGGTTTAATGTCTTTAGCATTGTGTAGTGATATTAAGGTATCACACTTGTTATGTAATCCTTCCAAATCTTGCCAAAAAACTTAGCTCACTTCCTTGTAAACATCTCAGACACACAACTTTGCCTTATGCTCTGATACACATGGAGTATCTGCTAAACAATGTTGCCCCATTGGGGCCCTTTGTTCAATTTTGTCCGGAAACACACACACTTTGCCCCTTTCATAGCATTGAAAAAGATGAAGTACACACCCTCTTGCTAAGCGAGAAGGTCAGTTGATTGTTTAAGCTAAAGTCTGGAGCTGCTTGTGCTGATTTGACCTTTAAACATTTCTGATCTTTGACCTTTAGGTCACACGCACACATACATATTTGGTAAAATGTGACGTATGTCAACCCTAGATTTGATCTTACCTTGTGTATGTATGTATTTGTGTGTGTTTGTAGGCTCTCAAGAGTCAGACAGCTCCCAGACCGCTAAGAAGGACATGTTGACGGCTCTGAGGGCCAGACAGGAAGCTCTGGAGGAGACGCTGAGAAAGAGAATAGTGGAACTCAAGAGCATTTGCATCAGAGAAGCGGTAAGGATCGAAACAACTTCTCACTTCAGCATAATGGCTCTGTTGGAAAACCTGAGCTTATTTGCTGTCTGCAGTCTGCATAGGAAGCTATTTTGCCAGAAAAAGGACTGTTACATTTTTTCGTGTGCAAAGAATGTTTTAAATCATACATGGTTCACTCGTGTCTTTAAAAAGTATTACATTTAATTTGATCAAATATAAGGTGGTACAAATTCTGTCTTAAATGTAAATATCTTAAATGGTACAACAAAATCTCTTAAAGAAATATCACTTAAGAAGTCTTAAATTTCTCGATGAAAAAACAGGAATCACAATATGCCTTCATGTCATTGTTAAACTTCAAAAGACTGATCACTGCACATTCAAAGTCAAAACACTGCGCTGTTGTGCGCTCTACACGATTACAGTTTCAAAGCAGTTCACAATCAGTCAATACCACAAGCTGGTAATTCATTTAAAATTTCTGGATATAGGTATTTTGGTCACATAGTAAACTGTTATGGACATTTAATTCAATGTAAACTCTTGTAGCATCTGTGGGTCGCCCTGTCATTCAATATATAGATTTTACTAGCATTGGCACAATAGTCTTTTTATTGCCTTTATATATATTAGTACATAAACCAATTTCATTACAGATGTGTATATTGAATAAAACAGTATCTGTTTATGAGTATCTTAAACTTGTAGTTGGCCTGTTTTACTGTTAAATATGTGCCCAGCCTGTTTAATCAAGTGAAAAAATCTATGATACATGACTTATGATTTAAAGTCTTTGAAAGCAGCACACTTTTGTTCAGAATAATGCCTTAGAATGCCTAAAGATCATGTTGCAAACAGTCAAGCCTGGATTTGCTGCTCTCAAAGGTGTTGATCAGGACTAGAATCTTAATCTCACACACTCATACACACACAAAAAGCTGGATTAAGAGTGTAACATAGTGTGTTGTCTTTCAGGAGCTGACAGGAAAACTTCCAAAAGAGTACCCTCTCGACCCCGGGGAGGAGCCGCCCACCGTCAGACGCAAAATCGGCACCGCCTTCAAACTGGACGAGCAGAAGATCCTGCCCAAAGGAGAGGTCAGTGACTGTTTATAGTGTGATTTATAGTTGGTACTGTAAAAACTTCTGAACCCCTGACCACAGCGAACGCTGCACAATTGTTTCATTATACACTGCCCTTTAAGCCACAATTAGATATCCATATATGTGTGCAGGGGTCTATAAATAGCTCCAGTCTGGCATGATTAGAGGAAGTGGCGATAGTGCAGTGTATGCGTTGAGTGTCAGCCAAAGGAACTGGATTACAAAACCCAAAAAACGAGCTTAGCTGTGTAAATGAAGAAAGTTGATTTATGCAAGAGGTCATAATGTCATCTTTGTCTTTGTGTGTTTTTACATGACTGATGATTGTTAATTTTGGGTAATTAATCGAAGGCATTGATAAGAGGCCACAATATCTTAGCTGTCTCAATGTGTGTGTGAAAACTAGACAACTTGGCGCCCATAGTTGTCTTGTTATTTTGACAGTGTGTGTTGGTAATTTCACAAATGATGATAGGAAGGATTATGTGTTTTTCTTTTTTTGACTCATTTTTTGTATGTTTACATCTGTGTGTTTTTAGGAAGAGGAGTTGGAGTGTTTGGAAAGGGAATTTGCCATCCAGTCCCAGATAACGGAGGCAGCGCGGCGGTTAGCATCCGATCCTCACATCAGCAGCAAAAAACTGAAGAAACAGAGGAAGACATCATATCTGAATGCTCTGAAGAAGCTGCAAGACATCGAGAACGGCATCAACGAGTACCGTGTTCGCTCTGGGAAGAAACCCACACAACGTGCATCTCTAATCATAGAGGGTGAGGAATTCTGTTCATTGTATTTGTAGATGTTTTCGCAGTGCTCCTGTGAGTTCATTAAGTGTTTCCTCTGTAAAGTCTTTCATGCTGAGAGCAAGAGTAATCGCACCTCCCCATAGACCTATAAAACTGTGTGAACATATGTGTCTGTGTGTGACCTCTGCTGCGAAAATTAATTTAACGCACTCGTGTTCATGCTCAGGTTGCGAAGATTTGTTTGACATGTTGGTGTATGTGAGTTTTAGCTTTTAAGTGTCTTTGTCTTTGTTCGGCAGAAGCGAATATCGGCTCAGAGGACAGCTCACTGTCTGACGCCCTGGTGCTGGATGATGGTAAGTTTTGTACCATTTTTATACATAAATACCAATTTTATATCTGTATTCTGGTTTCAAATTGAAGCAGAATAATTAACAAAAAAATAGGTCAGGGTTTGATTATATCCATCTGTAATTAATTGGATTGTGAAAAGTGGGTGTTGCAAACAAGAATGAAGCCAGCATAAACTATTCTTTTGCCAAATAATGTAGTTTACAGATACAAAACAGTCATTGGTCTCATTAATATTCATTCATCTGGCCCATTAATATTTAGTATAGAATTTGATATTTTTTACAATAACTTTTAACTTTAATTATCTAATCAAATAATACTCAAGATGTTTTATGAACTATTTTCTTTTTCTTTCCTTTTGATTTCTTTGATTATTTTCATTTTTAATTCCTACATTTCCTTTAAGAGGTGTTGTTTGGTAAAATGTGAGGTTGGATTTCATCAAGATGCAATAAACAATTATTTTGCAATTAATATAGTTTACATATACAAAACAGGCATTTGCCTCATTAATCATTAATTTTGCTGATTAATATTTAATTTGCTGATTGGTATTTTTTAAAAGAACTTTGAATGTGGCTCATCCAATCAGTTAATATACATTAAGACTCTTAATTTAGTTTTCATTCATTTAGTTTTCTTAATTTCTATCATTTCTTTTAGCAATTTTGTCCCCCAAAGTAAAAGAAACAGGTATGCATGCACCATCTTAACATTAAATGATATATTTATCTCATATCCTCTCACTCTGTTCTCCAGACGACCCCCAGGTGACAGGAACCCCTACGTTCTCTCCGGCTGCCTCCCCACACAAAGGTCTCCCTCCCCGACCCCCGTCCCACAGCCGACTGCCTCCCCCACAGTCCCTGGACGGACTGAGACACCTGCATTTCCAACGCAGTGACTATGACAAGTCCCCGATCAAACCGCGCATGTGGAGCGAAAGCTCATTAGACGAACCCTACGAACGGGTGAAGAAACGCTCCTCACACTCCAGGTACAGACCTGTCTAAAAAAAAATTATTATGAGTAGTGTGGTGCACATGTAAATAAATGAATTATGTTTATTCTTTTCTTTTTTTGCAGTAGTCACAGGCGGTTCCCCAGCACTGGCTGCTGTGAGGTGGGAGGTAGCAACTCTCTCCAGAACAGCCCTGTGCGCTCCCTCCCTCACTGGAACAGCCAGTCCAGCATGCCCTCCACCCCTGACCTGAGAACACGGAGCTATGTGCACTCGGCCAGGTGCTGGACACACACACACACACTTAAATATTCTCTGCTGTCGACATGAGAACATCACCTGTGGTTTTATTCCAGGGTGTCCGCGGGGTCTTAAAAAGTTGATAAATCAATTTAGGGAACATTAAGGCCCTTAAAAAGTATTAAAAAGTCTTAAATGCTATTTTCCAAGGTATTACATTTTGTAGGGCTGCCCCCTAATAGTCGACGAGAAGAGGCTTGGTCGACCAAAATTTTATTAGTCGCAGAAAAAAAAAATCCACAGGAAGTGGCGAAGTCACGCAGTCCGTGACGGACAGATCGTTAACGGCTGGTCTGTGTTAATACAGTACATCAGGCAGGACATCACTCGCCTATCATTCATCAACCTCAAATATGGCTTTTCATTTGAAATATGTAGGTAGTAGCAACTTTACGTGGCCATTCAATCTAATGTTAATCTAGAGAAATGTTCGCTATTCAAGTGTCTGTGCGGAGTGTGGAAGCGGAACAGTAGCACGCTCACTGCAAATGAGGCGCTGTTGCGGCCACTTACTTTTAAAATACTACTTCATTTCTGCTCATATGATGAGAGTAATACATCTTTCGAATCTGTAAAGACTCTATGTTTATTTGTGTGCACTCACACGGTTTTGTAAAATAATGAAAGCAAACAGGATGCGATTTCTGCCGTCTCGGTCTCTGTGAACTTGAGCGTGAAACTCAGTGTATGCTTGCCTTACAGCCATGAAAAATATATCTATAGAGAGTGAAATGTATACTTTTAAATGAACCAATTCAAATAGAAAACAAATATTCTCAGATTATGT